GTCAAACACTAAACTAAGATATGATTTGTGAACATTTTGTTTGAAACAAAAAAGTTTAAAAGTACTAAATTTCTAATGAAACTCTTATTTTTTTATTATTGTGTTTGTTCCAAGTAAACTCAAAAGCTACTCAAGAATTTTTTTTAAATAATCATAAATTTAGAGACATAATTAACATAGAACCAAGGTACATTCAACCAAAACTGGAAACTAATCATGTTAGGTTATTGATTTATTTTTTTTTGGTTCAAGTTAAGAGCTTGAAATCAAACTCTACAATGATTGTTTGTTACTTTCAATAACAAATCCAATTTCGTTTGTTTTTTGATATTTTTCTTTTTAAATTGTAAATACCAAAGATAAGTTCGATACTTATAAAAAATATCAAAATCAAAACAATTGGTCTAAAATTCTGAGTATATTTACAATTCCTCTTTACTCTCTTTATTTCAAAACTTTTCGATTTTTGAATCATTTTTACCTCTGCTTTTTCAGTGTTTGAATTTTTGTTAGAAGTTTAGAATGAATATGAGAAGTTACTCTCTTGAGTTCTTATGCTTTTATTTATGAGATTGCTAACAGATTTGATGAGTTATAGCTTATGGCTCTTAAGTTTTAAGAAGTCATGATGCGTAAATGATGAAACTATGATTTAGATAGAGTTTTTGACACATGATGGCTTTTGTCTGCGGGCTAGCCCGCTAACCCGTTGTATAATGCGGGGCGGACTTGGACATATAACCTACAAAAGAAGAAAAAGCCGATGCGGATGACCCATTTGGACACGGATCAGCCCGTTTGATAGCTCTATTTATCTTTCTTTCAGTTTTAATTCTGTTTTCTTATAGGAATATAAAAAATTGTATTCTAATCAAATATTTGTATTGGTAGCCAAAATATCATATCTAGTCAGCATTCACAAACATTATTTGTGTTTCAAACTTTTTGATTAGAAACAGTCGCTTAACTCTTAAGTTGTATGTATGATCAATTCTCTGAAAATGTGCTTGTATTTTAGTACTAAAGGAAAAAATGAAAAGAACAAAAAAAGGTTCACATTGGTTAGATGAGCAAATTATATCAATCTAAAGCATGTCACATAATGTTTGGACGACAATGAAATGAATGCCAAAATAAGATTCAAGGTAGAATACATCCAAAATTATGGTATTAAGGAAACAAAGAATTCAACCCATCTTCAATGTTTTTTTTACCCTTATTATTATATACAGAAGCCAAAGAGAAATCATGGAACATTTTCAAGCATTCTTCCTTGCGGGGAAAGGCATAATTTAATCAAAACCTAACAGAAAACTTGTGATTGAATGTGAATTATTACGGTGTTGTCACACACTCAAATATCTTTGATTTGAATCATCACCATCATCTATACAATTGAATCAACTAATAATATTATTCATGTCCATATTATTTCTTCTCATCAACATAGATAGATATCCACGAGAGGAGAAGTAAAGCATCATAGTGATGAACAAAGGTTAGTTGTATGAAACTAGATCAAAAGATGATGATTTGTTTAGTATTATTATACTCGGATAATTAAAAGCACCGAAATTAGATTACACTCTTACTCGAGCAGGCTACATGCGCTTATTAATATTGGGCCTAAAGAGGCTCATAAGGCCCACAAAGAAGAGATGTATATATATATACTCTTCGCATCTTATTGTCGACGTTTACCCGCTTCGAGCGAATCTGACCCCATCCTCTTCCTTTCACCTTAGTCGACATCTCTGGTTAGTTTTCCTTGTTGTTTTTTCATAGTTCCTTGTTGTCTTTAGAGATCGTTTAAAGATGAAACTCCGATCGATCAAAAAGCTTGTTGATTAATGTTTTCTGCGATTTACATAGAGTGCATGACTTTTGTTTGATCTATCTCTCTGGTTACTTTTATCCTTGCAACCGCTTGTTGTTATTGTTTTAGTTGGTTCTCCGATCAATCAAAAAGCATACGTTCCCGTTTCGTTCCA